GCCTTAATTAGAACCAGTTGTAGTTAAGGATTATGATGTGCTTTGGTACTGGATGGGGGAGGGGAGACAGGCAGCGGGGCTGTAGAGAGAAATCAGAAACAAATGGTGGTGTGATGGGGCTAAGGGCTGGTTAACTGCCCACCATAGCCTGGGCAGTGCCCTCTAGAGTGGGGCATCTAGGAGAATGGGCCTAGGCGTGGGAGGACAGAGCCTTTGGGCACTCACTCTGACCCCTGCCTGCCTCTGTCCTGCCTGGACAGAGGTGGCACCCCGGAGTAAGCGGCGTTGTGTGCTGGAGCGGAAGCAGCCATACAGTGGGGACGAATGGTGCTCAGGACCAGACAGCGAAGAGGACGACAAGCCCATTGGGGCCACCCACAGTGAGTGCTCATGATGCCAGGGTGATATGGCCCATGGTGCCCCAGGGGAATGTCTGCCCTGAGGAAGCTTCTCTCTCTTCAGCTAGGGCTTTAGAAGGCTGAGCCTGGGCAAGGAGCAAAGGTCAGGAGCCCAGGCCCCTTCTCTCCCATCCCACCTCTCAGACTCTGTCCCAGGCTGGCTGATAGCTCTGCCCCTGCTTTCCAGGTACTCAGTGGCCCCTCTTCCTAGGAAACCAGGTTGGGCGGGGTGAACCTCAGGTGGCCTCTCCTGGCTATGCCATGAATTCCTGGCCTATGCTGCCACCTACTGGTCAGTGGAGAGAGGGCAGCCAGAATCCAGTATCACTGGGAATGGGACAGTTGGCTGTGTTGTGCTAAGTGGTGCTAAGCCTGGGTGTGAGCTGACACTGGCTGTGGCTCTGGTGCCCTTGCCCAGAGTGCATCACCAGGACGAAGTGTGGGTATGGGTGGATGCCTCCTCATTCTTTTATTGATCAGCATGTATTTGGGCCTGATGGGGGGAAACCAGGCACATCACTGCCCTTGGGACACCCATAAAAGTTATTTGGTGTTTTCCTTCAAAACTTACATCCAACTGGGGGGATAAAAAGCTTAATTCATAAGAAACTATCCATAGAATGTTAAACTGTGAACTTGTTGAAGGTGGGGACTTATAAAGGAGGAAAAAAGAATATGCTGGCTACTTTACTACTTAGTGGTATTTAAATACTTAAATCCTTAGTGGTATTTAAATACTTTAAATACTTAGTGGTATTTAAGCCTTACAACAGCCTTGTGAAGAAGGTGTTTTTATGATGCCTATTGCAGAGGAGGAAACAGACTCAGCAGATGTTTGTAGAATGAGTGGACCATGTCTGTGGAGGTGGTACATGGGATCAAATACTGAAGCTTCTGCATCTGGCTGGGATTTTAAAGGTCATCTGGTCCCTCCCAAGGACTGACTGGCAGTTCGTGAGCCCCTGGCTGAACCCTTCACTGATGGGTTCACTGATGCGGGGAGGTCACTGTCTCTGAGGACAGACTCCCTACCCTACCCCATTCACTTTTATGATATTAGACTGCACCATTATAGAAACATTGGAAGACACATGGAAGTATGAAGTAGATATTGCTAACATACCATACCCAATACCACGGCAACCACTGTTACTATTTTATTTGTACTGTCATTAGATTCTTAAAGAATTCTTAATGGCGGAGCAGTATAATGTAGAGACTCTTCAATCAGACCACCTTGGTTTGTTTATATCCCAGATTTCCACTAATTATTTGTGTAAATATTTGTGTAAATATCCCAGGTTTCCATTATGTCAGTCTTTTTTGTTTAAAACAAATTGAATTTGTTGGAGTGACATTGGTTAATAAGATATTAGGTTTCAAGTATACAATTCAATGATATGTCGTATGTATATTGCATTGTGTATTTGCCACCCAAAGTTAAATTTCCTTCCTCACCGTATATTTGACCCCCTTTACCCTTATCTGCTTCCTCCAGTCTTTTCTGTTTTCCCAATGATTTTTTAGTTTATGACTTTGTTCTACACTTGCTATAAAAATAGATTTCTTTGACCCGGGTGGTACAGGGTGGGAGTTAGTGTTTCCATTTTATAGATGATAGAACTGAGGCTTAAAGGAATGAAATGTATTGTTTATAAGGTCACACAGTCAGTTAGCGGTGATACTAGCATTGAAAAACCATTTATCATTTGATTCATCAATTTGTGCAACCTCTTTCCTTTCTCCCCTCACCTAGTCAGTGTGTGGGCACACACACGCAGACCACAGCATGTGGGGCAGAGCAGGGCTAAGAGCAGGTTTTGCAATCCCTGCCTGGATTCACACCCTGGCTCTGCACTGACTGGCTGTGTCACCTCGGGAGAGTAACTTTATCCCTCCGAGGCTGTTTCCTCCTTGGTAAAGTGGAGAGTATAACACCTTCTTTCTAGGGATGTGGTGGTTAGATAGAATTGAATCTGTAATCATCCATTGGAATGCCAGGCACACGGGAGCCTGTTTGTAAGGTCATACTTTCCGTCTCCCTTTGCTCCTTATGGTCCCCACAATTTCCATCCTGGTCAAAGACTGGTCTAGGGCAAGTAAGTGTGGAAACCAGGCTGGTGAAAACACCAGATTGTGGCAACAAGTGACCCTGTGGGCGCCAGCTATAAAGAAGTGAGCTTCTATCTCTGGTTTTCTCTGGAATGGGGCGATGGGGGTGCCAGCTGTTTTTCCTTCCTAAATCTGGGCTGCTTACCTGCTTTCTTTCTCCTCTCTCATGCAGATTGTAATGTAGCAGACCCAGCCATGGCGGCCCCACAGCTGGGTCCTGGCCAAGCCGCCCAACTGCCCCTCAGTGAGACCAGCGCACCAGGCCCCCCTCATGGGCCCCCACCTGGCCTTCGGCCTGATGCACCTGTGGGTGGGGGCGGGGGTGTCCCTGGAAAGCCTCCCTCACAGTTCGTGTATGTCTTCACCACCCACCTGGCCAACACGTAAGTGCGTCAGGGCAGGCCAAGCCTGCTTCATTTACCCAGCACCACTCAGCCTGGGATCCTGAGTGAGCGCCTACAGGGGGCCAGGGCTGGGTGAGGGCAAGGGCTCCCTCCCTCCTGCCTTCCTCTCTGAGCTATATGTGCCTGACCCTCCTGTGCAGGGCTGCAGAGGCGGTGCTACAGGGCCAGGCTGACTCCATCCTCGCTTACCACCAGCAGAATGTGCCCCGGGCCAAGCTCGACCAGGTAAGTGTGGTGCCTGGCCTAGGCACGGTGCCTCCATGAATAGCCAGAGTGGCTGGTGCATCTCCTTATCTGTCTCATGCTCTGTCTTTGTCCTCTTGCAGGCCCCCAAAGTGCCGCCCACTCCAGAACCGCTACCCCTGGGCACACCATCAGCAGGCACCCCACAGTCCCAGCCACCTCCACTGCCGCCACCGCCACCCCCAGCCCCTGGCAGTGCCCCCCCCACTCTGCCTTCTGAGGGGCCTCCTGAGGACACCAGTCAGGACCTGACACCCAACTCAGTGGGAGCTGCCAGCACGGGTGGTGGGACTGGGGGTACCCACCCTAACACCCCTACAGCTGCTACCAACAACAACCCGCTGCCTCCTGGAGGAGACCCCAGCAGTACCCCTGGCCCTGCCCTGCTAGGGGAGGCCACCCCCACAGGAACTGGGCAGCGGAGCCTGGTGGGCTCGGAGGGCCTGTCCAAGGAGCAGCTGGAGCATCGGGAGCGTTCCCTCCAGACACTTCGAGACATTGAGCGGCTGTTGCTCCGCAGTGGGGAGACTGAGCCCTTCCTTAAGGGGCCCCCGGGAGGAGCAGGTGAGGGGGGACCACCAGCACAAGCCCCTCCTGCCCCCCAGCAGCCACCCACGGCCCCTCCCAGTGGGCTGAAGAAATATGAGGAGCCCTTGCAGTCCATGATTTCTCAGACACAGAGCCTAGGGGGCCCCCCGCTGGAGCATGAAGTGCCTGGGCACCCCCCGGGTGGGGACATGGGGCAGCAGATGAACATGATGATGCAGAGGCTGGGCCAGGACAGCCTAACGCCTGAGCAGGTAGCCTGGCGCAAGCTGCAAGAAGAGTACTATGAAGAGAAGCGGCGGAAGGAGGAGCAGATTGGGCTGCATGGGGGCCGCCCTCTACAGGACATGATGGGCATGGGGGGCATGATGGTGAGGGGGCCACCACCTCCCTACCACAGCAAGCCTGGGGATCAGTGGCCTCCCGGAATGGGCGCACAGCTGCGGGGGCCCATGGATGTCCAAGATCCCATGCAGCTCCGGGGTGGACCTCCCTTCCCTGGCCCCCGTTTCCCAGGCAACCAGATGCAACGGGTGCCTGGGTTTGGGGGCATACAGGGCATGCCCATGGAGGTGCCTATGAATGCCATGCAGAGGCCTGTGAGGCCAGGTATGGGCTGGACCGAAGACTTGCCCCCCATGGGGGGGCCCAGCACTTTTGCCCAGAATGCAGTGCCATACCCAGGTGGGCAGAGTGAAGCAGAACGATTCATGACCCCTCGTGTTCGCGAGGAGCTGCTGCGGCATCAGCTGCTGGAGAAGCGGTCACTGGGCATGCAGCGCCCTCTGGGAATGGCCGGTGGTGGTGGCATGGGGCAGGGTGTGGAGATGGAGCGGATGATGCAGGCGCACCGGCAGATGGATCCGGCCATGTTCCCTGGGCAGATGGCTGGTGGCGAGGGCCTGGCAGGCACTCCTATGGGCATAGAATTTGGTGGAGGCCGGAGCCTTCTAAGCCCCCCCATGGGACAGTCTGGGCTGAGGGAGGTGGACCCACCCATGGGGCCAGGCAACCTCAACATGAACATGAATGTGAATATGAACATGAATATGAACTTGAATGTTCAGATGACCCCCCAGCAGCAGATGCTGATGTCACAGAAGATGCGGGGCCCTGGGGACATGTTGGGGCCACAAGGCCTCAGTCCTGAGGACATGGCCCGAGTGCGGGCTCAGAACAGCAGTGGCATGATGGGCGGCCCGCAGAAGATGCTGATGCCCTCGCAGTTTCCCAGCCAGGGCCAGCAGGGGTTCTCTGGGGGCCAGGGACCCTACCAAGCCCTGCCCCAGGACATGGGCAGTACCCAAGACATGTTCAGCCCTGAGCAGAGCTCAATGCCCATGGGCAATGTGGGCACCACTCGGCTCAGCCACATGCCTCTGCCCGCTGCGTCCAATCCTCCTCCTGGGTCCGTGCATTCAGCCCCAAGCAGGGGGCTGGGCAGACGGCCTTCGGACCTCACCATCAGTATTAATCAGATGGGCTCGCCGGGCATGGGGCACCTGAAGTCGCCCACCCTTAGCCAGGTGCACTCGCCTCTGGTCACCTCACCCACTGCCAACCTGAAGTCACCCCAGACTCCCTCACAGATGGTGCCCTTGCCTTCGGCCAACCCACCAGGACCTCTCAAGTCGCCCCAGGTCCTCAGCTCCTCTCTCAGTGTCCGTTCGCCCACTGGCTCTCCCAGCAGGCTCAAGTCTCCTTCCATGGCGGTGCCTTCTCCAGGCTGGGTTGCCTCGCCCAAGACAGCCATGCCCAGCCCTGGGGTTCCCCAGAACAAGCAGCCGCCTCTCAGCATGAACTCTTCTACTCTGGGCAACATAGATCAAGGTGAGTCAGCTGAGCCAGGCAACTGGGCATTGGACTCTGGCACTGGGAGTCTCTCAGGTGGTGTGTTCATGCTGCGGCAGAGGAGTGAGTGAAGGCATCTGTACTGGGGCCCAGAGCTGGATGGCTCTGCTTAAGGGGCAGATAATGGTGGCTGTCTGTGTGCTCTCATAGGAGCACAAGTTAATCTCCCAGGCATTTGAGGGGGTCATACATGGGATTTCTCCACTGTCTGGGGTCCTGAGGCTATAGGAACTGCTTGAAGAAAGGTGGGCTGCAGTGATAATTGGGGCGAGTCTGTCCAGTGAGACATCTGAATAAAGGCGTGCCTGGAGAAGTTAAGTGGAGATTTGGGAGCTGACCTCTCCTGAGCCCCCAATGTGAGCAGCCAGATTTATTTCTCCCCAGTCACCCCTGCTCTTTCTGTCTCTGCTTCTGTAGGTAACCTCCCACCTAGCGGTCCCCGGAGCAGCTCCTCAGCGCCTCCTGCCAATCCTCCCAGCGGCCTCATGAACCCCAGCCTGCCATTCACTTCCTCCCCAGACCCCACGCCTTCCCAGAACCCTCTGTCATTGATGATGTCCCAGATGTCCAAGTATGCTATGCCCAGCTCCACCCCACTCTACCACAATGCCATCAAGACCATCGCCACCTCAGACGATGAGCTGCTGCCCGACCGGCCCCTGCTACCCCCGCCACCACCACCGCAGGGCTCCGGGCCAGGTGCGAGGACAGGAAGGGGGCTACGGGGAGAGGAGCTGATGTGGGCACTGGGGATGGGGAGAGTAGGCATGGCCAGCAGTTGCTCCTGTGGTCGTGCTGGCTTTTATGTGCTTCCAGAGGGCCCTGGGAGTGGGGGTATGACGTCCTGGGATGCAGCCGCACTGAGTGGTATTTCTAGCATCCGGTGAGGTGTCTGTCACAAACTGGGTCAGAACCTGGGTCTCTTGGGTTTTAACCTAAATGCCTCAAGGCCTTTCCCTCACAGCCAGGGCAGGCCAGTGTTAGAAGTTCTCACCCTTGGCACCGGCCTGGCTAGAGAGTAGAGGAGGACTGAGTTCTGCATCCTCCCCCAGCTGGGTGCACATAGTTCCTCACCCCCTTTTCTCTTTCCCCATAGGGATCAGCAATAACCAGCCCAACCAGATGCACCTGAACTCAGCTGCTGCCCAGAGCCCCATGGGCATGAACCTGCCAGGCCAGCAGCCCCTGTCCCATGAGCCCCAACCTACAATGTTGCCCTCCCCCACCCCTCTGGGTTCCAACATTCCACTGCACCCCAATGCTCAGGGGACAGGAGGACCCCCTCAAAACTCGATGATGATGGCTCCAGGGGGCCCAGATACCCTGAATACTCCCTGTGGCCCTGTGCCCACCTCCTCCCAGATGATGCCCTTTCCCCCTCGGCTTCAGCAGCCCCACGGTGCCATGGCCCCCACTGGGGGTGGGGGCGGGGCACCTGGCCTGCAGCAGCACTATCCTTCAGGCATGCCCCTGCCCCCAGAGGACCTGCCCAGCCAGCCTCCCGGCCCCATGCCTCCCCAGCAGCACCTGATGGGCAAAGGCATGGCTGGGCGCATGGGCGATACATACCCACCGGGCGTGCTCCCCGGGGTGGCATCAGTGCTGAACGACCCTGAGCTGAGCGAGGTGATCCGGCCCACCCCGACGGGGATCCCTGAGTTCGACTTATCAAGGATTATCCCCTCTGAGAAGCCAAGCAGCACCCTCCAGTACTTCCCCAAGAGCGAGAACCAGCCCCCCAAGGCCCAGCCCCCCAATCTGCATCTCATGAACCTGCAGAACATGATGGCTGAGCAGACCTCCTCACGGCCCCCCAACCTCCCGGGCCAGCAGGGTGTCCAGCGGGGGCTCAACATGCCTATGTGCCACCCCGGACAGATGTCCTTGTTGGGCAGGACAGGTGTGCCCCCTCAGCAGGGCATGGTGCCTCACGGCCTGCACCAGGGGGTCATGTCCCCTCCACAAGGCCTCATGACCCAGCAGAATTTCATGCTGATGAAGCAACGGGGTGTGGGGGGTGAGGTCTACAGCCAGCCCCCCCACATGCTCTCCCCACAGGGTTCCCTCATGGGCCCCCCACCCCAGCAGAACCTCATGGTGTCCCACCCCCTGCGGCAGCGCAGCGTGTCACTGGACAGCCAGATGGGCTACCTCCCTACACCAGGCAGCATGGCCAACCTGCCTTTCTAGCACTCTGCTGGGGGCTGGAACTGGGGCGATATTGCAAATATGATAACCTGAAAAAAGTTTCTTTCCCTCCAGTGTTGGAATGGCCTGGGTCAAGGGGTGGGGTGGAGGGGTTGGGAGGGGACTTGTGTGGGGAGTGGCATTTGTGGAAACCAGATGTGCTGACAGCTTAGTGGGGAGTGGTGGAATGGGGTGGGGGACTTTGGTTTGGGGTTTGTTCCATTTTGGCCACCAGGACTGCCCCTTCCCCAACCCCCCAAGTCCTATGGAGCCTCCGTTTCTCCTCTGTCCCTGTATCTACCCTCACTCAGCTATGCTGTCAGAGACCGGTATCGCATTCTCGGGGGGGAGAGAGGAGAGGTGAAGTAGCCCCTCTATCCCTTTTCTTTCCGTCACTCTCTTCATTGCTTCAGCTTCACTGTCCTCTTGGTTTCTCTGCCTCCACCAGGTTCTCTTCTCTTTTCCTGCCTCGTTTCCCTTCCCTGCTGATGTGGCTGACCCCTCCCCCACCCTTTCCTGCCGGCAGCCGGCCAGGTGGGCAGGCGCTAGCCGAAGCTGTAAATAGAGCACTGCGCTTCTGTGCTGGTTTGTGTGTGTGCTGTATTTCTGTGTTTTGATAGAAGTCACACAAAAAAAGGATAAAAGAAACCCTTCCCCCCTTCAAATTATTGCCCCTTCCATTCCCCTGGACCCAGGTATGTGTAGTGTGACACACCTGTCCGCTGTTTGCAGTGTCTCTGGGTCCATAAAGGATACCATTCCAGTCCCCTTCCAAATGGTGAAATGACATAGATACCCCAAACCTAAATTGAGGTCAGACCATCAAAGCTTCCATTGGTGAGCTCCAGCAGGGCTGAGACCACCCCCACCCCACCAGGTTGGCAGCCTGTCAGCTGCTGAGTGACGTGGGAAAACGTGAGCATGCATTCGTGTTTGCACTGCACAGCGACACGAGGCCCGAGGCCCTTGGCTTCCCAGCTGTGGATGTCTGGTGTCTCCTGCTGCTACATGTGAACCAGAACTTGAAGTCCTTGGTTCCCAGTCTGGGGTGAGAGAAAGGAGAAAGGTGGAGACTGTGTGGCCTCCTCGAATGGAGCCATGGAGGAGTGGACTGGTGGCCCACATGGTCCTGTGCCTGCTGCAGTAGCCCTGAGCCAAATAACCCTCAGGGCCCTAACTCTTCCAGAGGCTGCCTTCTGCTGCTTTACCAAAGGAAGAAGGAAAAGGGTTTGATGAGTCTATCTCCCTCCAGCCTCCACTCCCTGATGGATTAAAGGAAGTGTTGGACAGGGAGCAGGGGAGCATCTTGCAGATTTATCTTTGCCTACTCACCGGCAAGGCCCCTCTGCCCAGAGCTCAAGGCTCGGTGCCCACCCAGGCGCAGTCACTGCCTCCCTTTCAGCCCCAAAGACCTCCCTACCCAACTCTGGCCAGAGCTGAAGCCATAGCGACTGGGTGTTTTGACCCTGTCGGCCCCAGGAGTAAAACACTTCTCCTTTTCTCACTTCCTCTCCTGCCTTCTGAGGCTGCAGGGCTGGTGGCCTGGCAGAAAGCCTGTCTGAGGCTTTTTGCACTGTGCCTCCAGGGTGAGGGGCCATCTTTAGACAAGGTGTCTTTTGCCATGGCCCAGTCCCCAGCCTTCCTGACCTGCAGGGCCTGGTCTTGCATTGGCAGCTGTGATACAAGGGAATTTGCCCCACTTCTCCCAGTCTGGTGCTGTCCTCAGTCCACCATCAGCCAGGTCAAGTGCTTCCTCCGGGGCTGGCTGCAGGCTCCTGCCTCCCTCAGCACCTCCCAGGGGCCAGGGCCCAGGGCCCAGGCCTCTGCGTGCAGGGGCTACCTGCCTGCCCTTCATCCAGCCAGGCACTTTGTCTGCCCTTCCTCAACCTGGACCCTGCGCCGGTGAGCCCCCCACCCTTGACCCAAGATTCCCCAAACTGACTAAGTGTTTCCTGCCTGGAGGAGAGAGGGGTCAGACTGCAACGGGCCCAGCGCTCTCCCCATTCTCCCACCTCCTCCGTCAGAGTAGCTTTTCAAGGTGAACTCCACAGGCCAGCCTACTTCCCTCCATCCATGGCCATACCCCCAGCCATTTTGTACCATTATATAAATATATATATAAATATAAATATATAAATACAATATGTGAAGACATCCTCTTGGTTTTTATTTTGAAATAATTTTTAGGCTTGTTCCGGGGGTCTCTGTGCTGCCTGTACTGTATTGACCTGTTTTATAGGTGCCTTTTTATTAAAAAGAGAAAATTAAAAATCCAGCCTTTTGCCTGTTTGCTTCCGTGTCTGGCTCTTCCACTGCCCAGCTTGCTGTTAGATGCCGGGAGAGAAAAGGAGGACCCCAGGACTTTCCCAAGATTCTGCAGTGAAGGCCCTGGGTCACAGCTCTGACTTTCCTTGTGGGGGCCTCCTAGGGAGCTTGGTTAATTGGCTTGAGTGGGAGTGGGTAACCCAGATGTGCCTTCAACAAGTCAAGGGGCCCTGCTGTCCCACTCCAGCCAGACCAAAGGCTGGGGCAGAGGGAGGGAGAGCCTCCCTCAGGGCAGGTGGGCCAGTGGGCAGGCGAGCGAGCGTGGAGCAGCTTCCCCTGGTTCCATCTGAGTAGTATACCTCTCAAGGGCAGAGCCCCGCTTCCTGGGGCCTGGGGACTTCCCTGCCCAGGGCTGCTTCTCACACTATCCAACCCAAGGGGATGCCTCAGGTAGCTCTTATTGAGGTGCAGAGAGACAGGGTGCCCTCCCTGGGCTTGATCTTCAGGCAGGGGTTGGATGAGAGTCCCCTCAGAGGCCTCTCTCTGTCCTTCTCCTCAAGGGGTCTACCTATTGATTCTGACTCTTAGCCAAGTACTTCCTCTACTGTGATTTGGACCCCTCTGCTGCTGGAGGAGTTTCCCCTGGCTGTGTAGCTTATGAGAAGGGGGCAGGGAGGAATGAGTCTGCCTCCTTCCCCATCAGTGCACAGACCCACCAGGGCTCTGGATCCTGCCACCCCTGGCCAGTCTTGGAAGCTCTCCACTCTGGGCAGAGAAGACGGCTGCTGGCTCCGGTTTACACTTGTGCCTCCTTTCTCCCCGGTTGGGTTCCTCTCTCCTGGCTCAGCCTTAGTTCTTCCCTAAGACACTGGCTAGTCTCTGAGGTTACATGGAGTCTGCCCTCGGTCTGCAGACCTCCCAGGGCCCAGTGACATGGAGCTGGCCCAGAGTCAGGGGCAGCTACCTGAACTGGTTCAGTCTGAGCGTCTTGCTTCATCAAGATACTGCAGGGCTGCTGGCCTGGCAGAATGTCTGTGTTTGTTAGGGGCTAAAATATGTTAAGGCCACTCTCTGTTGCCAGCTGGCCTTTCCTTGGTCTTAACCTCCATTTATCCCCTGGTGCTCAGCTTCTAGCTTATTTCAGCCAGTGGGGTAAGAGGACAGGTGGGTAGTTGTGGAAGTCAGTGGCCCATAAGATGACTGGAGTATGTATTCTGGAAGGGAAATGACTTTCCATATTGATGAAGACAGAAGTAAGATTTCTTGAGCTTTGGATGGTTAAGATGAGAGAAGGTATGTGAAGTCTTCTCAGCCCAAGATAATGCAGATGGGCATAGGTATCCTCTTCTTCCCTTTGGGCTGCTTTACCCTCCCTGGACTCTAGCCTAGCCCTGGGGTTGGAAGCTGGCAGGGATGTCCTGGAAAGAAGGGTTGGTTCATCTAGCTGCCCTATATGAGGACAGTGGGCAAAGTGAGCTCTTAGGACCCCAGCTCCTATTGGAAGGGATTCCAGCATACACACATCCCCTGAGGAAAGCAGGAACAGAGGGGGGCTGAGACCTAGAAGGTGGTGAGGGAGGTGGCATTCTCTGACTCAGAGAGACTACTCTTGCGCCAACTAGGGAAGAACTGGCAAAGAGAAGTAGGGCCAGCACAGCCCAGCTTGGTCAGAATCCGTGACAGGTCACTACGAAACTTTACTCCAGCAAAAGTGTAGAGCATGGGATTGAGGCAGCAGTGGGCCAGGCCCAGGAATTCACTCATGGTGATGGCCACGGAGAGGTAGTCATTCATCTCACAGCTGCTGCCCATGGCCTTCAGCCTTGACAGGGTGTCCAGGAAAATGACAATGTGGTAGGGTGACCAGCAGAGAAAGAAGACACCTGTCACCAGGATGGCTACCCTGACTGCCTTCTGCCGCTGAGGGCGCCTCTGGGCCTGGCACAGCCTGTGTACCACCCCTACGTAGCACCAGCCCATCACCAGCATTGGCAGCAGGAACCCTCCAAAATGGTAGAGGAAGCGGGAGGTGAACCAGGCATTGGTTTCAGCTTGGTTTTCTTGGGAAAAGGTGCAGCGTGGCAGAGAGTCATTGTGATGGGGTTGGCTGACCTTGGCGAAGAGAATCTCTGGCAAGGCGAAGAAGAAGCCTGCCAGCCAGATGACTGCACAGGTGATGTGGATGGAGAGGAGGCGGCGGTGGCGGTAGGCATGGACGGCATGGACGATGGCCAGGTAGCGGTCCACAGCGATGCAGGCCAGGAGTAGGCTGCTGCAGTAGAAGTTGATCTTGTACAGAGCAATCACAGTTTTGCAGAGGAAGGTGCCCAGGACCCAGCCCACAGAGCCCTCAGCCACAGCGAAGGGCAGGATGAAGACCAGCAGGAGGTCAGCCACTGCCAAGTGGAACAGGAAGGTCTCGGTGGAGCTGCGGGTCTGCCGGTGCCGCTCCAGGATCACCAGCACCAGGATGTTGCCCATCATACCCAGGAGGAAGATGAGGCCATAAGCCACAGGCATGAATATGGCCTTAAAGGAGGTCAGAAGAGGCCCCTCGACTGTGGAGCAGATGTGATTTTCCACTGGGGATGTCTCCGTGCTGTCTCTGTAGTTACTTAACTCCTTGTACTGCAAGGACAGGGGACAGGAGGTCAGAGAACTGAGGATCCATCTTGCCTCTTGGAGAGGACCCTGACTCCCTCATATATTTTCCTATCCCCAAGGCTAACAGCTTTTGTCCCTGTCCTTTCTATATGTCCCGCTGACCAAATCCCAATTTCCCTTTGTGTCCTTGAACAAATCACTTTGCCTTTTCCAACTTCTATTTTCATCTGTAAAAGGGACTAATTCCTCACAGGGTAGTGATGAAGATGAAAGGAGATATATGGTGTGGACATGCTTCAGAAACTCTAAAGGGCTATGAACTTGTAACTTATTTGGTTTTTGTGTGTCCTCAGGTATGGAAGGCTGCAGGCTCAGGGTCTGGAACTGAGACTTCAGTTTGAGAATGGCTCTAGTTGGGACAAGGAGACGTCTGTTCCAGTTATGAGCAGAACACTGGGTACTAAAACCTAGGATCCCGCTGATGGGCTGGGTGCTTATATGGCCTGCTGGCTTCCTCTTGACTTGTCCCCTTATTCCTGTCTGTCTTCATTATAAATAGCCGAAACTATAGTAATAGCCTCCCATTTTATTTCATCCACACGACAGGCTCAAGGTATTTAATCTTCCTATTTTACCAAAGTGTCTCACTGAAGATCAGGTCTGTTTGAAGCCAGAGCTAATACTTAAACCACTGGGCAGCAGTGCCTGGGCTTCCCTCTCTGCAGCTTCCCTCCCATCACTAGCAAACTCCCTGCCCTGCTTCCTTCTCTGCTGACAGCAAGGAGAGTTTCAGAAGCAGAAAGCCCAGAGGCAGAAGGAACTGAGGGAGACCAGGCACGGGGG